CTGCGGTGAGCCCCTATCCAGGCGAGGGTGGCGGGAACGGGGACGTGGCTCCGCGGACTGGGGAGAGGGACTCGGGAACTGGGCGCGGGAACTGGGACGCGGCTCCAGGCCTGAGCCTCTCTGATACCAGTGTGAGACTTCGGGGAATCGGGAATCGGGGCCGATCTGGGGGTCGGGTTAAGAACTCGGGGGTCTGAGGCGATATGGGGGGCGCATTGGGAACTCGGGGGATAGGGGCGATGTGGGGGGACGGTTGAGAGGATCGGACGGCCTAGGGCCAGGTTGAAAACTCAGGAGCCCAGGGTCGGGGACTCGATGTCGAGGCAGGGCACTTTGGAGGCCTGGATGCTGAGGGCCTGCCTGGCGGAGCGATGTGGGGGCCGGGCTAGAGTCTTTGAGGCGCGGCAGGCCGACCAGCCCCGAGGCTCTCCTCTCGAGGCCCCTCAGAGGGCTAGGACGCCTAACTTCGCCGTCTTTCTTTTCTTTGCATTGCTGTTTCTACTGGGAAGTAGGGACTCGATTTCCTTTGCGTGCTGTTTAATTCCCAGGCGGGTTCAAGGCGCAGGGGCAGCCCTGGGCTTGCAGTGCTTAAAGTAGTGGCTGTTCACCCAAAGGTTGGTGTCTGGGATCTACCGCGAGCTGCTGGGGAGGGAGGGGGGCAGGGAAGGTGGGGGCAGTCCGAATCCCCAAGGATTACAGCCCAGGAAAAACAAAAGCTGAACTAAACAATACAAACCAAAAATACAGAAAATTTTGGAAACAAGATCAGGTCCAGCCTGCATCATAGGGGGGTGTCTACTGACGAAGTTTTAACTGTTCAGGTCAGATTTGTGTCTTTGAACTTCTGTACTCCTCTCTCCCAAGCGCTCTGTTTCGTGACCACCTTCCTCCCATCCCTCAATTTTAGAGAGGGGGAGTTCTCTGCAGGTTATTTCCTAAGTAGTCCCACAAATGAACCTTGGGCTCCTACTGTTATCCATCGCCTTCTGCAAACGGGATTCTCACAGTTTAGATTCTGATATTGATCTTTCCTTCGACACCGGATTATATGGATTCCAATCCTTCGGTGAGTGATGATGTGTGCTTCTTCCATGTGAACTTAGTTGACATCTCACTTAGATGGCTGCTTGTTTGGAGACAAGCCTTTAAGACCCTAGACCAGCGGTTCTCAACTTGTGGGTCGCGACCCTTTTGGAGGTTGAACGACCTTTTCACAGAAGTAGCCTGGTTCATAACAGTAGCAAAATGACAGTTATGAAGTAGCAACGAAAATAATTTTATGGTTTGGGGGGGTCACCACCACATGAGGAACTGTATTAAAGGGTCGAGGCATTAGGAAAGTTGAGAACCACTGCCCTAGATGCTATTTTATCTGCTAGCTGGTCACCATTCTAATTTCTCTACCACATTTTGGAATAGCACCCATATCTTCTATGGTCCCTTCCTGAGGATATCGAGCAGGGCCATGATGTAAAAACTAATTGTTCTTAAGTTGGAGCTAGGATTTACTGGGAGCCCAAAACCTATTCCTGGATATATGCTTTTTTTTTTTTTTTTGCTGTGACTTGGGAGTTAATACATAT